GTGGGAGCGTTACAAAGTGTTAGTGGTCACTTCTGAGCCTTTCAAATCTCATGGAAGTGGACAGTGGACACATGATGGATCTGCCGTTCTTGGCACTTAATACTAACTTTACTCAAATGCTGCTGATCATTTACTTTGAACATGATGCTTTCAACTGACTTCTGAAGAAAGACTATGCGATCACTCACAGTGTTCCACTGATCAGTCGCATCAGCAAGACTGACCAAGCAGAGACTAGTGACCAAATATCTTCTATAGCAACCGTCATGCGAGACGTCGTAAGCCTAGCCGTTCCGTCTGCGTGGCATAAATCATGTCCTATATAGATGAGAAAAACCTTCAACCCTACAACCGTTAAGTATGAATAATTGAAAGGGGCTACGTCAGAAATGTTGCCATATGTCTCGAGTAACGGCAGGAACAACGACACCAAATGTGTCGTAAATCGATGTCGACGATGTCTGTTTTTCAGGGTCCAACAATTCCTTACAGGCACATTAATTATTAACAAATATCACAGGCTTTTGTGCTAAGCACGTAACTGGAAGAAATATTAAGAATCGAGCTCTTGGGTTTTCAAGTTTCATAGTTTGAGGTTTTTAATGGTCCGAACGATCATCAGCCAACCCTTCGGCAAAGCACAGTAAAGCGCTGGAGTAAGTGAATGATGCACGTGTCACAGCTGTAATCTTGACCATTTTTACAAGCTGTCACAAGTGTGATTTACACAACTAGAGCAGGCGGAACTGATATTTTAGAACGTATCTGACTGCCGTCGTCCAAAGCTAGCAAAAATCATCACAATTACAGCAGCAGGTCCTCTACAGAACTTCGATGTTCACTCAGTATCCTGAACTGCATATTTCGGACGCACTACCACAGGTGAGGGTACAAAAACAGGCAGACAGACTTCGCAGTACAGTGCAGCTCTTACTTCACCACTACAGAGTAGTCCAACTCCATAATACAGCGCACGCCTGGCCGATACGTCCGCCTTTTTTCACGCCTTTTCTGTCATTACTCGTGAACGCTACCTCAAGATACTAACTTAAATTTCTCTTCTTGCTTTACTTACACTTACTTACACTTACACTTACACTTACTAACAAAGCACTCAATTTAACCAGCTTTTGCTGAGAGTACGAAAGCATTGATTTTGGCCAGCCAAATTTCATGCCGACCTCCTAGCAAGCAACAATGAGGAGGTCAAACGCAGCATGTCAGAGATTATCGCACTATAACAAACTTGATCTGATCATTTTCAGACAGAGATGATTCAGATCGGTTTCTCATGCAACCGCAGTATTCTCTGACTCTAGGCTTAACCTGCTGATTTAATCCATAAAAATGATGGACAGAAGATTGACAACAGACATACCATCTGATGTATCGAATCGTCATTTTTCCATTAATCTAGATAAAGTATTCTAAACAGTCATTACGAACCTGGTTTTGTAGCTGGTCATCCAAATCAAATTTCTGCGGTACACTCCAAATGTATGCTGTTTTGTTATTAAATTGGACATGGACATCTGAAGATAGCCCATCGCAGGATATGATAGCTTAAAGTCGATAGTTATCTCTAATACTCCTACCTGAAACTTTATCGAATCTTCAACTATAGTATTTCGCCTAAATATATTGCACATCTGCAAAATAGGCATAAAGTACCTCAGCAAATTCCCAGCATTTCGAGGCTGAT